CCCTCCTTCCCCCTCCCTCCCTCCCTCCCAGGCAAGATGTGTCCTGGGTCAGTGTCCTTTGGCCAGCACAACCAGAGCTAACCTTACTCACATACTCAGATATGCTTCTTCAGTCATGTGTTGCTCTGCTTTTAGGAAGCAGGAGTCGTGAGTAGCCCGTGAACCGCACCGCTTCTTTCACCCATTCACCAGCGCCACTTCTCCACGCCTTAGCCCATTGTGCTCCTATCCTGATGGCCAGGACTTCTCTTCCTTATTTGAGAATTCTCAATCTTGGCTCATAAATTTCTAGCTTCCTTGCACTGTTTCTAACATCTAACATTGAGTTCCAGTCCTATACAGGACCCAGCAGTCCAGGGATCAAGCCATCGGGTCCAAAATGCTTCCCTGCTTGCTAGTAGAGCATCTTCATCCTATGGCTTCTCTTCTTCCAAATGAAAGTTTGGCTTTTCTGGGGCTTGATCTGCTATTCCTGATAAAAATGTGGACGAACTCTGCTACCCAGGAAAAACACCTCTAAGGTTTTACAAAAAAAAATGTTCAGTAAAAATGGGAAATAGCTGAGGAAGATGTGCTCCTGTAAGCTCTCCAAGAGCAACCCTACTCCCACCCACATTGCTGGGTGCCCAGCACCCCAGTTCCAACTCTGATGCATCCTCTGTTCTGGTGGAATATGGCCAGATGAGACAGATTAAATCTGAAATCACATCCCAGGTAAGATTACTACAATTTGGAAAAACTGGGTGAGACTGGGAAAATGCAGAAGGAGGTTGGGGGATGTGGTACCTTCGGGCATTTGGGGGAGCTGCAGTGACTGGGGTTCACTAAAGACTGAACTTACCCTTCTGACTCCCCAATATAGCTTTCAACTAGGTAAAAATGCTGCCACATCTTTTTAATACTACACTGGATTGAAGCATCTCAGAATCCCATGCTCTTGATATTGTCATGGTTTCAAAGTTAATATTTGGGGAGTCAACTAATTTCAGCAAGGAAGACAGAGCTGGGGTACAATGGTGTACAAATCCTGCAATTCTAGTAGCAGAATCTGTGGGAGGCTTGGAGAAACCAACCCAGACTTGCACATCAGGAGGTCACCACTACCCCAAAACATGAAGCAGTCAGCAAAAACAGTTGGTTCCCATGTTCCAAGCAGATGCTTCAGTCCTGCCTGGAACCCCTGGTTTTTCGATTTCATCTCTGCACCATGAGTGCACATTCCTCTAAGGATCCATCCCGATTGGGGGGGGGGGGCTGAGAGTTGGTTGGGGTCGGTTTGCACCCATGGGCTGAATTGGGACTTGTCCTTCCAAAGTTTAGGAAGGTTAGGTGTGGGGCTTCAATGGGGGCCCACAGAAGAGAGGTTCACACTGAAGCTCCACAGTGCAGATGCAGTGCAGAAAGCTTCTCACTGCAGGGACCTTCTCACTGCAGCAAGCCTGATGTACCCTAAGCCAATGACCTCCACCCCATGCAGTGTCCTCTAAGCGAGAATTGGGTCCTTTGCAAAGGTAGTGGGCCTATAAAAGGCCTTGCACCCTTGCCATACTTCAAGGTCTCATAGACTAGAGTGATCTGCTTGGTCAGAAATGTCTATTTATTTTAAAATCACCAAAACCACTTTTGTTTGTTTTGTTTTGTTTACCAATTCCTGATATGTTGTAGATTCAAAGGATGGAGGACGTGGGAGACAGATTTGGAGAGAGGTTTGACTCTTCAGTCTTTTTATAAAAAAAAAAAAAAAAAAAAAAAAAAACCTCCAATGGCCCATCCCAGAAGCACTGAAGACAAAAATAGATTTGCTATATTGCAGCTGCAGCGAGATGGAGAAACTATTTCTCTGCTGTCTACCCTGCATAGGAGAAAAGAGTTCCAGCAGACAACTTCAGTGGCCCAATTGCCAACCAGTACTATGTACATCCGGAATGAGAGGTGGAGGGGCCTAAGAAAGGCAGTTTTCCCGTTGGACATGGGCCAAATGTAAGCCAGGAGTTCCAAGATCTGGCTTGCGTTTAGTGTGACCTTCAATAAGTGACCTCCCTGACATGCAGATTTTTGAGACATTTTAAAAACCATTGAGATGGAGGTTTTCAGCCCTGATCATTGTGACCTGTGTGTCCTTAAACTCTGGGACAGGCATACCACACCACACCTGCCCATTCCTCTCACCCCATTCCTCAGCCCATGGCATTTTCAATGGAATTATCTCAGCAGTGGCTGGATTGGCCCAGCCAGTCTTAACCACCTTCACCCCACAAACTGCCAACTCAAACCCCAGAACATACTCATCCATCCCTTGCTTGGGAACAGGAAGCCATCTTCAAGGATTCCTGTTCTGCCACAACACTCAGGGTGGAGGAGACCTGTGAACTGCTGGAATCTCTAAACCTCTAAGCCATTCTGCCTGGAAAGGGCTCTGAGGTTACACTTTCCTCAAAATTGCTAGTTCTGGAACCTGCAACAAGGAGTGAGAAATCTTGGCCCTGGCTACTTCCAGGCCACAGCAAGCCAAGCGATCTTTACAAATCGAAGTAAACATTTTATTTACAAGTCAAGGTATCCAAAATGCAGCACATTTTTTTTGCACCAGGACCCCTGGCGCGGGAGGAACAGTTTTGTCCAGCTCTTCACAGTGTGAGTGGCTTCTGTCCAGGGAGAAGTGTTCGCTGGAACTGAGAGCCTGGGTACTACGACCTCTCCACTCTCTGCAGTGTGGGCTGCTCTTGAGCGTCGGAGCGGGGCAAGGTGTGAATGCCATGAAGGAGGCACCAGCTCCACCTACTCTATATCCCTGGTCCCACCGCCGACATAAAGGTGGCACAAAATGCACCCTCGAGGGCCTGCTGGCGATCTGCACCCAGGGCCCTCCACCGTCATCCTGTCTATAGGCCGCCAAGCGTAGCCTGGGCAGGCTCGGGACTTTTGGGGGCGCTGCTGAGGGGGGGCTGGGGCGCTGGGGGCAGCTCTGCCACACTGTTGCCCAGGCTGCCGGCGCTCCCCGCGCCGCCGCCGCCGCCGCCGCCGCCGCTGCTGCTGCTCCCCGCGCCGCTGCTGCTGTTCCCCAGGCTCCCGAAGCCGAAAGTGCCGCAGCTGCCGCTTGCACCGCTGGCCCCGCCGCTGGCGAGTAGCGGGGCGCCCGCGGCCGAGGCCTTGATGACTGTGGTTTGGTGCAGAGACCTCTCAGCTCCCTCAGTCCTTTCTGAGTCGCTCGGGGCCATGTCCAGGGACTCGGAGTCGCTGCTTTCGCTCTCCACCTCGCCCTCCGAGCGGCTGGGGCTGCGCTCCTCCTGCTCGCCGTCGCCTGCAGCGCTTCCGCCCGACGGTTTCTCGCCGGCCTCCTTGTCTTTGTCTTTCTGGGCCTGGGCCTCCTTCGAATGCCTCCACTTCATCCGCCGGTTCTGGAACCATACCTTCACCTGTGCCGACCGCCGGGGAGACAAGCGAGGACACGCACTTAAGACAAGGGCTGGCTCTAATCCGAAGGCACGAAAGCACCGAGGACCACCCACCCCCCCAACCCCACGCAGGCCCTTGCAGTGAGCAAACTAGGTGCAGGGGCTCCGAAGGTGCCTGAGGAAAATAATAGGGTGGCTGGGAACCCCAAACTATGGAGACCACTTTTCTGAGTGTAGCCAGACAGCTTCAAACCAGAAATGGCCTGAAGGCCATTGGAAAGCCAGGTTCCAGTGCCTGGACCCTCAACGGTAAGGAGGATTGCTAGTCTCCATCCAGCTTCTTAACCCCACTTGAGTCAAGACCCCCTAAAAATCTGATTGAAATTATGAACCCTCACCCCAGAAATAGGCACACAGGCACAAGAATTTGGGGAACCAATTTTAAGAGTGTTTGCTAGGGTGGGAGGGGATGGATAGAAGGGGTCAATCTAAGAGTGAGATGGCACCAGAAAGTTTGCAATATGTATGGTGAGGCACGTGCACATATTGGGGTATGAAGTTGTACTCCCAAAATTTATAGTGTATTGTAAACCAAAGACAAATCCATTTTTTAAAAAAATCATTTAAAATTAAAAAAAATCTTGCTAAATTGGACCCCTCTAGACTGCCATTATCCTAGGCAAGTCCCTACAAAAGTAATTCTTTTTAAGAAGAAACTTTGGAAAGCTGAGGGGGAGAGAGACTCCAAGAGTTAATTCCAAAGGTAAGGATGTGGCTGGGCCTTGGGTAAAACAGGGCTTCCCCCGCTTGTGTGTTCTTGGAAGCTGATAAGGACCCAGCCACTGCCCCATCAAGGAATCTTTCTGGTAAGTTCAGAAAATGCTGGAATGAACCTGCCCACAGTGGAGGAAGAGGATGAAGATGGGGCAGCAGAGAATCTACTAAATCTATATGAGCCCCTGGAGGACCCAATGGGTTCACACAAGTTCCAGCTTCCCTTTTAAAAATAACTTCCACAGCTGGTGGAAACCGGCTGGGCGCTTCCAGCGTGTGCTAGGGAGGGGAGTTGTGTAATGGAGGACAGAAAGACAGAAAAGGGGGGGGGGCCCTGAGGGAACTATGAAAAAGCACCCGCCTCTGGCTTCTGCCCTGCTTAGAATATCTGGCTCTTAGGGGACAAAGTCCTTTGCTGTGGAGTGTGAAAGATGAGGGTCTCTCCTGTTTTCAAAAATCACAAGAAAAAAAGATACACCCGTTCTTGAATTTGAAAAAAAAGGAAAAAAATAATACCGAAACAATAAACTTGCTCTTGTCTAGAAAAAAGTCAAGTCGGCAGAACTTGCTGAAATGCTTCTTTTTTCTTTCTCTCCCAGAGATACATCTCAGGGTTTATACCGATAGAAAATCAGACTGGCTCAGACCGCTCCAAGCGGACTCTACTCCCAGCCTTACAGGGGCTAAGTAATTCCGTTTGAAATGATGTTCTCACTTCCTCACAACTGGGGATTTCACAATCCAGCAGCAGCAAGGGGAGGAAGGGAGGAGAGAAGGGGGGAAAAACCAACAATCTCTTGACTTTGGATTTTTAGCTCTTCTGAAATAAACTGCTCCTACAGTGAATTGCACTACAGTTGAGTACATAATTATTATCTCCCTTGGCCTATTTACTTTCTCCTCCGCTCTTTGGCCTATTGGCCAAAACAAACACCCACTGCTTGTTGACATACATCTTTAGGGATGAGCTATTTTCTTTCCGTCCTTCTCCCCCACAACCTCCTCAGCCTAAAGACAGAGACCCACAAGGCCTCCTTAAGTGAAGATCTAGTGTTTCCGCTGAAATAAGGGAGTGGGCTAGGTGAAGGCGTCTGTGGGCCTGGGTGCCTGAGATTGCTTACCTGTGCATCAGTAAGGCCAAGCATTGCGGCCAGCTGCTTTCGGTCTGGCTTGGTCACATACTTCTGAATCTCGAACCTTTTCTCCAGGCCCTTCCTTTGCAGGTTGGAGAAGACTGCCCGGGACCAGGAACGCTTCCTTTTGTAGGTCTGTGGCATGGTGTCCTTTGTGAGTACAGCATAGGGACCTGTCCAGGGCGGAAGAGAGAGCAAGAGAGGACCAGCAGGGTCCACCATCAGAGTCCAATGCCAGGTAGCAGCCCTTGCAGCACTGCTATTTAGAATGCGTTGTTGTTGCTATTTAGAATTGTTGTTGTTACTATTGAGAAAGCCCTTCAGGCAACATGGACTGGCCTCTCTAAGGAGGAATTTTCTCAAGATGGTAGGTGGAAGGCCTCAGCCAGTATGGAAGGGAGAAGCCCAGCAGGGTATGGAAAAGCATAAACTCCATGCATGGCCATCAAGCATGCAAAGAAAAAAGGAAAATGCCAGGTCTGTCTGATCTAGATAGTGGCCCATTCTGTATGTATGTATATGAGTGCACGCACATGTACACACACTCACATACGTGCCCACTGGAGCAAAGGAGCCTCATCAGGCAAAGGTGTCAGAGGTCACCCCAAAATATGTGTATCTTGATAAGTAATCCTTTTTACTGCTACATGTTCAAACTACCCTTTCCCAAAATACTCTACTCACCCCAGCACTGGCACACTTTTAGCCTCCCCCAGCACCTCCCCTCCCATTTCCACCCTCTGGGAGCCCTCAGAAGAGGAGTTGGCTCCCTGAGAAATCTTCCCATTTCTCCCTCGGGGCTTGGTGAACTCCTTCCCATACCAACTCCAGGATTGCCACAACTCAGTGGCCACATGAGGCATCAATTCTGAGCTTTTGGTCAGTCACTGAGCTCTCAGGAGGGTTTTCGTACCTGGAAACGTGTCTTGAAACTGATGCTGAACTGAATTTCTCGGGTTGGAGCTTAATGGACTCAGGATGGCAGAGGCCTCATTAATAGGATCTAGAGATGCGAAGAACTGGCCCGTGGAGGGCTGCAGGCCTGGGAGGTGAACCCCCGAGGGCCTCCCGCCTGTTAGCAGTGATGTGAGATCTGGGGACAAGGGGAAAGAGCTGGTTACACCTAGAGTAAACTCACACTTCAGAGCTGACTTGTTTTCCTGTTACAAAATCTTGAGACCCCTGTCTCTGCACCCACAGAAACCCCTCTCTCCAGATAGCCGCCACCCGTGTTGCCGGTGTAACCCACAAGTCCACGTCTACACAGGTTGCAAAGAAGGGACTAACATAAAATGGCCAAGAGAAATCACTTTCAGGTGTCTCCCAAGAGCCATCCCCAAGCCCCCTCTTAAACGAGGCCCATTCTGTTTTCTCTGCTTAGGAATTTAAAGTCAATTTTATTTATTCATGTATTTCAGGTGGAACCTCACTAGAAATCAGATACACAGAAGGGAAAGTGTCCGCTGAAAGAATTTTCCCTATCAGATAATATACACAGATATGCAAAGAAACTGGCCACCAATAGTCATTTGGGCAAATATTTACATGAACCAGTGTTATGAACCCTGATTGTGTGACATCTTGCATTGAAAGCATTCCTGGACTCTTAATTTTTATTTTTACATAGTGCAGGTGAGTTTTTAACCTAGTCCGAAATCGTCTTCTTAAAAAATTTATGTTTGTTCTTTCTTCTCCTACATTTTACCGATTTGTCTTCAATTGTCAAAACACTCAAAGGAACCCCAAACTGGCTCGGGGGCTGGGGAGTGCATCAGGGCTGAGGTCTGAGAGGCCGGCAACCTCTCTCCCAAAACCTACCTCTGAGAGTGTTGCCTTCCTTGACTTTGGGGTCAAATTCTGCAGACAAAATTCGGTCAATTCCAAATTTGAGGTCCTTGCTGGAGGGGGCCGGGGCCGAGCCGCTATGGTGGGGATTCGGAATCACCCGCACCCCGGCAGCTAGGGGCTGCAGAGTGCCGGCTCGGGGTGGAGGTGGAGGCTGCTGGGGCGGCGGTGGCTGTTGTGGCGGCTGTTGTTGCTGTGGGTGATGGTGGTGGTAGGCAGCTGAGAGCGGAGACAGCCGCTGCGGGAAGCCAGCAGGGACTTCGGAGGGCGCCACCACCGGGGTGGGTCGGAGCGGGGATCTGGCGGCGGCTTGGAAAGAGGCGTGCGGGTGAGCGGCGCCCAAGTGTGCGGTGAGGGCGGCTGCCGAGGCCCCTGCCAGCCCCTCTGGGGCCGCTCCCGGGTCCCCCACGCCAGCGTGCAGGATGTCCGCGATGCAGAAGGAGGGTTTCTTCACCGCCGCCGGGTCCAGGGGGAAGGAGCAGCCGCCCGGGCCGGCCGAAGAACAGTAAGCGGCCGACCAGAGGCTGAAGTTGGAGGCGTAGAAGGGAGCCAGCCCCGCAGCGAACATCCTGGCCGGGCGCGCCGTGAGGCCGCTGCGGCCTGGCGGGACCAAGTAGCTGGGTGGCTGGGTGGGCGATCGTGGAGGGGCGCGCTGAATCCGGCGGGAGGCGGCCGCCCAGCCCAGGGCGATCCGCTTTCGGTTCTCAGTCCGCACTGAAGAGAGACCCGCGAGCCCTAGAGCCCCGGGGAAGGAGGCGAAGACCCGACCCCGCCGATCGCTCGCGGGCCCTGAGCCCAAGTCCAAGCAGCGGCGCCCCGGTGCCCGCAGGCTGGAGACGCGCTAGGGGCGTAGGAGCTTGGGGCGCTGGGCGGGCGGGGGCCGAGGCTCGTCACTCACGGGGCTGCCGGGGAGGCAAGGGGCCGCACAGAAAGAAAAACCCAAACAGCTCTGCCCTGAGAGCTAAATTTAAAACAACAACAATAATAATCCGTTAGTTGGAAAAAAAAAAAAAAGGTAATAAGAAAAAAAAAGTCCTCCCTAAAAACTCCCAAAGTTTTGGCAGGAGCTTTCGAGTCAGACCCGGGGTAGGACCTCGATCCAGGCGTTCATTGGCCATCCTTGTGACCAATGGGAGCCCTAAGTGGAAGGGAATTGGGAAAGTGGGGCGTGACCCGCCCTTCCGTCACGCCCTCGGCCACGCCCTGGCCACGCCAAAGTGTTTGCTACTGCCGCGTGGGCTGAGCGGGTCAAGCGCGTATTTTCTCTGCAGCGTAGGGAATTTTGAACCTCTACGAACTTCTGCTGCTGCTGAGAACTAGCCCCGGGTGTGGAGATCTGAAACACAGCGCACTTGTAGTGCTCTCCTGTGGGACGTGATGTATCCCGATCGATTCTGGGTGCCAAGTCCCGCGCCCCCCCCAACCCCCCAACCCCTCGCTTGCTATCCCTCTTAGCTTAAGTCGAGCCGGATTTTCTTTCTCTCGGCCTTGATCCAGAGAGTCGGTGTCTTCTGCAAAGCTTCAGTTCGTGGGGCCCGCCCGCATTCTGCCGGCCCGGATCTCGGCACCTAAATGCTGTGGCCCTGCGTCCTGGTCCACTGCAGCACCACGAACGCCTCTCTGCCTGGGAGATCCTCAGAGAAGCGACCCGGGATGTTCGTAATTACCCTTATTCAGAGCTGTCACAGTGACAACTTAAAGAAGTAACTTTTCAAACAAAATAAGATGGATGTCTCAGACTGTCTCCCTTTAAACGCAGCCAAACCTCCTTTCCCTCCCCCCAGCCTCAGAGACAATTAAACAGGCCAGCGTCGCAACCCCAGGGGAGCGGCACGTGTGTCCCCTGCTTTGCTATACCTAGTAGAAAATGTCACCCTCCCTCCTCCACCACATCCCCGATCACGTGGGGTCCATTGTTTAGCAAGTGTCTGCAAGAGATATTTCCTTGGGGTTAAATACTACTTTCAATTCAGCCTCCCTCAGCGCCCCTTGGGCCTGGTCGAAGAAGGAGCTACAGGGATGACCAACCTCTTCCATTAGCACTTTGGATCTTTATAGCGCAGGGTGGATGCTGTAGGGGGTTTTCTGCAACATCAACATCTCTATTTTAAGAATTCGTTCTCTTTTAAATTATAGTCAGAATGGATTTCCCCGCCCCTCTCCCAAACAAACCACAGGCCACCCAGATGAGCTCTTCTTGCACATTTTCAGGAAGAAAATAAAATAATAACAATAATGAAACTACGAAATACTTTGTTTTCGATTGTCCTAATAAGCATCTCCTAAGGGAGCTTCTATCTGTGCTTATGTGACAGCCTCCCCAAAATCCTTTCAATAATATATATATATATTTTTAAAAATAGAAGCTATAAAATTTCTATGGGACTTTCAAATTTCACTTCAGCACTAAGATGCCTTACCGAGAAACCGAGGAAGGCAGATGAACTGGCCATGCCTATCTCCAATTCAGGAAATGAGCTAATTAAATCAGCTTCTAGTCCTTGCTGAGTTGCCAATATAAAATGCTGTCACTTTATAATTTTGACTTTCTCCAGGAAAGTCACCAGTTATGAATCAATGATCAATCACTTCTGACCAGCCTACACTGAAGCAGCAAGTTCTCTGGTTCTCTCTCCCTCTTCCCCGCCAATCCCCACCCCCTTGCCCTGCTCCTCGAAGCCTAGACACAGCAGAGCACCTGAACCAACACCCTACAGTTTCTACCATTTGCTTACAGGGGGGCTAAGATTAGGCTCCTCAGGAGGAGTAGTAAGCAAAAAGCTGCAGATTCTGGGGACATTCGGCTGGGATGACGAAGCTTCTCTAATTTACAGCGGTCAAGGCAAGTCACTGGCGTGCGTGGAAGGGGGACGACTCTAACTAAACCTCTTCCGGTCTTCCTCCTGTCATTTCCAATTCAGTAGCAATTCCAATTTTGAATTGCAAACATTTAAACCGCGGCCTAAGTTCTAAAAGACATGCCGTTTTATACCTCACCTCTGGCCTCCCTTTCCCCCAACCATCCCTCGGGAAGGGTACGGGGAACCGAGTCAGCGAAAAGCCGCCCTCCAGCCCCACCCCACCCTACCCCACCCCACCCAGCCGCTCCCGGGCAACGGTTTCCTTGCGGCGTCCAGAATCCGCAGATGCAGCCCTTCACCGCGCGGAGCTAGGGGCTAGCAGGGCGAGGACCCGGGTCGGGTCGTTTTCCGCCGCTCCTCGCTGCGCAGCGCGCTCCTCCGCCCAGCGAGGTCCGCGGATGAGTAGGTTAAGTCGCAGCCTCCTGCGAGGCCCGGGGTTCCCCCAGGCCCTCCGCTGCGTGGTTACCCCCTAGCATCACCCAGGCCCACCCGGAGCTCCCTCGGGGAATAGCGACCTAGAAACCCTCTGGCACCACCCTCTGCCTCTCCCCACTCTCCTTCTGCCCAGGCCCCGCGCGACACTGCGGGCCTTTCGCCTGGTTCTGGGCCCGCCAACTCCCCTGCTTCTTACTCCCCACCCCTCAGAACCCAGAGAGCAGCAGGAAGCCCTGGGCTCGCCGGAGTTCAGGTCATCTCCTGTTTTTTGATGGGCTCAAACTCGCACTAAATGAGCGGATGTGCCTGCGAGATTGGTCTCAAAATAGAAGCGGCCTTAGTATTTTAGGATACTGCCGAAATCCTTATTTCTTCCGGAGAAAAACTCTATAATGACTCCTAGCACTTCCCCTTTCAATATTTGTGCAACTTTATCTCCCCCGACAAGTTGCTCGGGTGACGCAAATCCGCCCTTGTGTATTACAACTACCAAAATAAATGCGCGGAAATCGATTCTCTTCTAGCAATGAAAATATAAATATACAGCTGCGACTTTCCCCTTTAATCTTGGCTTTCCGAGCGGCTCCGGGCTGTGGCGAAATGGACTGGTCCTGAGCTATTGAGACGGGCGGGGCTGGGCGGGCCTGCGGCAGAAGCGCGGGCTCCTGGTCCGCCGCCTCCGGGTTCCAGGCTCCGGCAGCAGTGGAGCCGGCCTAGCCGAATCAACCTGAACTGAAGTGTGTCTTGCGTTGTGCTTTGAGGAAGCTCGGTTGTAAAGACAGGACAGCCTCGGCCTATTTCGCTGAACAAATTGCAGTTAACACTGTAGCGATGGAGAGTACCGTTTGTACTAACCGGTTAAGGCGATTTTCCCCCGTTTTTGAAGGGAGTTCTGATCAAATCTGATGACTGACTTTAATCCATGTAACTCTCCCATTGACTTCTGCTGGGTAGATCCAGCCAAAAGCGCTCTCTCTCTCCATCCTGGGAAGGAGTGGTTTTATAATGTAAAAGGTTATGGGGATTTGGAATTGAAGCAAGGGGTTTGAACCAGAAGGCTATGTCCTGACTGAAGAAAGAAATGGGTTCCACGGCCCATTTGGAGGTCCGAGTCTACAGAGCCCCATACTGAAATCACCAGTGCAAATTCTTTTCCTATATCTGGGAGCACAGATACAGGGCGATTGAACATGAAAGCTGAGAGAGAATGTTGAGTTTGTTTATTACAGTAACGTAGTTCTGCAAGGTTTTAATCTAAGCTGCCCTTAAAAGCATCTCTGTTTTTGCTTTTTTCCCTAGACTTGGCAAAATAATGTGCAAGGTTGTTAATTGCTCTGTGGACCTGGAATTTCCCCCACCCATACCCTTTAATTTTAAGTGTTTTTCCAATATAGCACCTCCTGGGTTCAGAGAAAGCGATGGAAATAAGTAAATATTCACAGACAAAGAGAAGGAAGCCGAGTTTACCCAAGTATGGGAGACTGCAAGACACGTAGCAGTGAAGGAAACTGCTGTGTTCTGAGGCTGCCTGCCACCTTTAGGTGCAGAATTTGTGTTCCTTGTAGAAGCTACATACTAGAGTTTAATGTTCTAAACATGCGCACACACACACACACACACCTTAGATTTTTTGAAGTACATAACACCCTTTTCCTGAAAACCTTACTCCTGAATTAAATATACTTCCTGAATATTTGAAGCAGGTTAGACTTTAACTTGGGGGTGATGGGAGGAGGCAAGTAGAAGGGTGATAGGAGCAGGGGATGCAGGGTCACTTGATTTACTCCTTTTCCCTTGTTGCATTTCCCAGGTGTGGCAAATTTGCAGGTAGCCTTCTCTTTATGTGACTTTGGCCCGGTCCTTGAACTCTGGGCCAAAGATCTAGCTTCAGAGTCTCAGACAGCCCTTTGGGTCTGATGGCACTTGTCCTTTCCCCCTGTTACAGGGATATACCACTTCTCTACCTATTTATTTCACACAGGCACACAGTGACACACAATCCTACACTCACTGAGGTTTCTTGGAGACCGCAGAGAAGGACAGGGCAGGCACTTTGGCACTGCTTCTGTTGCAAAGACCTAGATGTCTATCTCTCCAATCTCGGTCAAGTAAAACCTCAGCTCTCATTATACTGAATGATAAAATCTATTTCAGCATGACTCACTGGAACATGGAATCACGTATTTGTGGGAAAATCACATTCCCATAGGAGTAAAATACACTTAACATGTCAGCAATTTAGGACTTCATTCAACAGTCTTCTTTTAGTAGCTCACTCACTCTCAAGATATTAGCCATATGCCTTGTAGACACTGAATTGGTTGTTTGGATTATTGAATCTGAATAGCTGAAACTGGGAGTGAGGGAGTTGAATTTAAGGAAGAAGAGGGTAAAATCACACATCCAAATTACCTCTGGTATTGGGGTCTCCTGGTGGGGCAGAGGTTAAAGTCTCAGCACTCTCAAGCCATCCACAGACACTGTAGCATGAGTTCAATCCAGGGCCAGGAAACTAACCCACATAGCACAGCAGACCTCTCCTGTCCTCCCAGCTGCTCACCTCAGTAGTATATTTCAGAGGATCTGTCTTTTCTGCTCCCCACTCTGTCTTCCTGA